AAATTCCTTCTCATGAACTTTACCAGCCTCTCTGTCTTGGTTTGTCTGAGAGGACCTTTGATGCATTCTTCCCTTTAGGTGCTGTGGTAATTGAGGCAAAGTTTCTGTACAGTGATGAGGGAGTGATTTAGGTGGCCTGGTCTTCCGTGCCATACCTGTGTGTCTGGAGAAGGGAGCCTGAACACCTTCATTGTGATGGTTTAGATCAGTTTTATGTCAGTAACCCCTGTGTTCTCTTTCACGTACTCATTTTACTTTCGTGTTGGTTGGTAAAATTGTCTTATTTAGTTTTGACTAGCCAGAGACTAAAATTCTCTCTCTTTGCCTTTTTTTTCTACTTGTCAAAAGGTAAAATTTTCTTTTTCCTGCAATAATACTTGACAACCCCAGGTCCTGGCTCTCAGGACATGTTTCTTTACTTCTCTGATACTGTAAATTTAGTGTCCTTGATATCCCCATTGCCAGGATAGCAGATCTTTCCCTTCCAAGGTGCTTATCTTTCTCTTGTGTACCAGTTCCGTCAAAGATGTGAAAATGTGTGGAGGGTATAGATTGATCAGTGAGGAGAGAATTCTTTCACTTTATGCATTTCTATGTAATTTGATTTTTTTTCCAACTAACATTTATTTAAGATTGAAAAGGGAATGTGAAGAAATAAGTTGTATTAAGATAGTAGAAATAGGTGAGTTTCTCTTATTTAAATGTCCTTTTACAATTACAAAACTTTAAAAATTGTATTGTACAGTCCTCATAGGCACTTTAAAGTTCACATTTGCACTTCAGTAAATTATTCCTATCCAAATTTAACCATCTTTGGCCACCAGATTCAGAGATTATGAAGTCTCTGGCATTTTTATCTCACTTGTATGCAAGTTGTCAACTTCATAAAAAGCTCTGTGCCACTACCTACCAGTTGCTCTGGACTTTTCTATATCAGCTGCTTATAATTCGTTGATTCTTCTAGTTAAATTTCTGAGGTAGCAGTGTGGAATCCTGAGATGAATGTTGACTTTGGAGTCAGGCAACCCAAAGTGAGAATTCTGGCTCCAGTGTTTATTAGCTGAGTCTTTGGACAAGTTTCCTAACCTGTCTCGGTCGTCTTTCTCTGTATACTGGAGATGATCATACTCAGCTGATAGAGTTGTGAAAATTAAGCTTAGATAAGATTGTAGATGTAAAGCACCTGGCCATGTGCTTCAGCCACAGCAGGCACTAGATAACTGTTAGCTTCCTTCTTCCTCCCTGTCCTTGTTTAGCTTATTATAAAGCTTATTTACACATTTCCTTCCTGCCAGTATCCACCTAATGCATAATTCCAATAGAGAGATGAATATGTAACGTTATTTGGGCTAATACCTTGCCACTAGCTTTCTAGAGAGTCTTTGGCTCCTCCTTTTGCCTACAGAATTAAATTTGTGCTTTATTTTCACATTGCATCCCTGTTATGACCTCTGCTGTAATTTAGGAGTTCTCAAATTTTAATACAGTGTCTGCAGAATATTAATCTGCTGCCTAACAAATTCCTCCAGAACTTAGCAACTTAAAGCCAACTCCCTTGAATTCCTGTAATAGTCCATCTTTTTCCTGCTTTTTGGCTCTAATTCACTTTGTTTCATTTCTACTATAAGTAGGGACTTGAAAATGATTGCCTTCATTTGACCGCTGCTCTGTCATCAGAACTGTGACAGCTCTGCAACAAGCATTGTGCTGCTGAGGATTTAAAAGCTGTGTGGTCATTAGAATGCTGAGGCTAGCTCAGACCACAATGGTTGGTAGTTAGTGCTTTCATGCAGGCGTTTATCAAACAAGTGCATTTCAGTTGTGTGCCGGGCTTGGTTTCAGGTATGCAGTAGGAGACAGGCATGCTCCCTGTGGGTGACACAAAATAATAAACAGGTGCACAAAAATGTATCTTCACAACTTGAAAGACATCCCAGGAAAGAAGTGAACAGATGGCTATGATGTAAAATAAGGAGACCGACTTAGATACATTTTCAGAGAATCTTCCTGAGACTTAAAGGATGAAAAGGGAGAAGACATTTAAAGGAATTTAGTATGTCCCATGGCCAGGCACCGTGGCTCACACCTATAATCCCAGCGCTTTGGAAAGCCAAGGAGGACAGATCACCTGAGATCAGGAGTTCGAGACCAGTCTGGCCAACGTGGCGAAACCCTGTCTCTACAAAAAATATAAAAATTAGCCAGGCGTGATGGCGCACACTGTAATCCCAGCGCACAACTGAATCCCTTGAATCTGGGAGGGGGAGGTTGCACCACTGCACTCCAGCCTGGGCAGCAGAGTGAGACTCCGTCTCAAAATTAAACAAACAAACTTAGTGTGTTCTAGTAACTAAAAGGAGTTGGGGTGACTAGAATACTTTAGGGGGTATGCAGAAGCTACCTGGTGCAGGACTGCCAAGGCCATGGTCAAGGTTTCATTCTCAGTGCAGTATTCTGAGCTATATTGGTATGGCATCCAAACTGGAGATCATCCTTTTTTTGTTTTTGTTTTTTTGAGACAGAGTCTTGCTCTGTCACCCAGGCTGGAGTGCAATGACACGATCTCAGCTCACTGCAACCTCCAGGAGGCCTTCTGATTTAGCAGTTGTGGAAGTAATTGGGAAATTTGAATTCTAGCTACCAATTCAACTATAATGGATTGGAAAATAAGATTTCTGTGTTAGTTTAACAGAGGAGAGCTAAAAAAGCACTCAAGCCTGAATGGTTGTCAGGAATTTGGGTGATTGTCTTCTTACCTCAGAACATAAAATGTAGGGATTACCACAATAGCAAAAGGAGGTATTCATGTTGGAAATAAAAATGCTCCTCCCTTCAAAAATGAGACAGCATTTTAGATGGGAAAGGTTATTTATCTGATTACATGATTTAAAATTCTGAGCTTAAGGTTATGTGTCAAATCCCGTCCGGCTGGGCACGGTGGCTCACGTGTGATCCCAGCAATTTGGAAGGCTGAGAGGGAGGATTGATTAAGCCTAGGAGGCCAAGGCTACAGTGAACTGTGATCACACCACTGCACTCCAGCCTGGGCAACAGAGGAAGACCCTGTCTCAATCAATCAATCAATAAAAAAAGTCTGATCCATGTCCGTCTCTTCTTAGCTGCTAATTCAATTTAAGATTAGACAGCCGGGCGCGGTGGCTCAAGCCTGTAATCCCAGCACTTTGGGAGGCTGAGGCGGGTGGATCACGAGGTCAAGAGATTGAGACCATCCTGGTCAACATGGTGAAACCCCGTCTCTACTAAAAATACAAAAATTAGCTGGGTATGATGGCGCACGCCTGTAGTCCCAGCTACTCGGGAGGCTGAGGCAGGAGAATTGCTTGAACCCAGGAGACGGAGGTTGCGGTGAGCCGAGATCGCGCCATTGCACTCCAGCCTGGATAACGAGCGAAACTCCATCTCAAAAAAAAAAAAAAGATTAGACACAGTGGACAAGGACAAGTATGGTGAGAGTCCTGTGATTTTTTTTTCGCTAGCCTCTTTTCCACGTAGGCCTCTGTTCCTCCTCTTCCAAGGTTTTTCCCAACTCTTGCCTCCTGGAGGTTGTAGTACCCTGGGTGTTAGGAGACTGGATTCCAGACACGTTCCCCACAGAAAGATAGCAGGACCTGGGAAGATCTTTTTCTTTCTTTTCCTGATTTCCTCTTGTTTGCAAGAGTGTTGAAAAGGATGGTCTCTAAAATCCTGTTGTTTTTCTGGATTGTATTAACCCAGGCCATGATGATAAGACCCTGCTCTGAATTCATAACATGTACTTATACAACAGCAATTTAATATTTCTCCTTCTTCTATGGAATGGCTAGGAAGCTCTGCTGGTCTTTGTTGGATGGTTTTTTGTTTGATTTTTCTGAGACAGGGTCTCGCTCTGTCACCCAGGTTGGAGTGCAGTGGCGCGCCATCAGCTCACTGCAACCTCCACTTCCCAGGCTCAAACAATTCTCTTGCCTCAGCCTTCCAAGTAGCTAGGACTACAGACTCATGCTACTGCGCCCAGGTAATTTTTGTATTTTTAATAGAGATGGGGTTTCACCATGTTGCCCAGGCTTGTCTCAAACTCCTGAGCTCAAGTGATTCACTCACCTTGGTCTCCCAAAGTGCTGGGATTACAGGCGTGAGCCACTGCACTTGGCCGATTTTTCTTAAGGTCTCACCTGGGTTCACTTTTGTGGCTGAACTCAGCTGTTGGGTTGGCAGGGGCTGGATGCAGTTACGACAGAGGGTCTGTTTCTTTAAGTAACTACCCTTCATCCTCAGAGGGCCAGACCAGCTCCTTCACAGTGCTCCAAAAAAGCAAGCGATGATGCCCAAGCATTTTATCCAGCCTCTGCTTTCTTCAGATTTGCTCATGTCCTACTGGCCAAAGCAAGTTACATGGCCAGGTCTAATGTCAGTATGAAGGGAGCCCTCCACAAAAGCGTGAACCTGTAAGGTATGACTCGTGAGGGTCACTAATGTAATAGTCACCACAACCTCCATGCTAAGTTACCTGTACTCTCCAGTAAGGATTTCCCAAGGTGGTTTTGTTCATAATCTTCTCATAGAATTATTTGGAATTATCAGTTTAATATGCTCATGATGTGTTTCACTGGGACCATACAAGTTTTGATTCGCAGAGTTGGGAGGCCTAGGTAGATACTGAAGCAGACTAAGTTTAATCACGAAAATTATTCTTACCTAAGTCTGATCTTATGTTTTCAAGATAGCATTGTAAAATTCAGAGTATGGTGCCATCCCCCTTTGAGACCTCTCCTGTTTTTAATAAATGGAAGCATTTGAGAATACTATTTGGTAATAGTTTTATTAAAACTACTTCAGAGATAGTCTGGACTTTCATATTAGTCTAGATGTGGAATAATAAAAATTAGCAATGAATCTGTTATCTATGAGAAAATTTAAATTTATATTACAACAGTTGAATATAATATTTAATAATTTGTGTTGGGGGGATTATGTGTTTTGTTTGTTTGTTTTTTTTTTAGCTCTTCAGAGAAGTAAGAATAATGAAGATTTTAAACCATCCCAATATAGGTACTTTCTGCTTTTTTTAATACTTTTAGATCTAAATGCATTCTTGAAATTATGTCATAAAGCTAAACACGTATTCTAGAAATGGTAGAGTACACTTTTAGTAAAATAGGTATACAAGTTGTTGATCATTTGCATTAGCTTTTTGAAATTACTGAAGACAGGTTAAAAGCTTAGGTATTAACTGTTGAATGTAAAGCTTTAATGTAGCAGAAACACCTGTAACCTGATTCTAATTTTCAAATATATTAGAAAATATAATTGTATTGCATGAGTAGATAGAAGGGAATTATAGAAAGTCAGAATTAACATTTTCAAAGGGGCTGGGCACAGTGGCTCATACTTATAATCCCAGTACTTTGGGAAGCCAAGGCAGGAGGATTGCTCAAGGTCAGGAGTTTGAGACCAGCCTAAGCAACAGAGTGACACCATAATAAACTTAAAGATTTTTTTTTTAAAGAATATTTCAGATGGGCACAGTGGCTCAGGCCTATAATCCCAGCACTTTGGAAGGCCGAGGTGGGCGGATCACCTGAGGTCCGGAGTTCAAGAACAATCTGACCCTATCTCTACTAAAAATACAAAAATTAGCTGAGTGTAGTGCCATGTGCCTGTAATCCCAGCTTCTGTGGAAGGCTGAGGCAGGAAAATCGCTTGACCTCAGCAAGTGGAGGTTGCAGTGAGCTGAGATTGTGCCATTGCACTCCAGCCTGGGTAACAAAAACGAAACTTCATCTCAAAAAAAAAAAAAAAAAAAATTTCAAAAGTCCAATACTTTTGGCTATGACTGTGTCCTAAGAAAATACTTATATATGGAATCATATTTAAAAGATGGAATACTTGCTATCTAATGGACTTTTGATAGGAATTAATTTTATAAATCAAAGATTTGTTTTATGTGTCCTCTATGTGCACAACTCTGTGCCAGGTGCTAGCAGGTGTGTTTAAAGGTGAGGAAGGGACATGGTCCTACCCTTAGAGTAATTATAGGAACAAGAGAGAGTAAGAAAATGACTTGATACTGACCCTGCTCTATATACATCCCAATGAAAACTTTTGATCCCATATACATTATAATAGGGCTTTTAAAAAATTACATAACTGCTTTTTTGTATAGTGATAGCTCATACAATCTAAAAATAACATTTCAAGAATGAAATCACAGTTAAGACAGCCCATAATCAGTTTACTGTCAACATCAGTTTTAGGTAATGAAAGGGTTGATGTTGGCCGGGTGTGGTGGCTCACGCCTGTAATCCAAGCACTTTGGAGGCCAAGGCGGGCGGATCACCTGAGGTTGGGAGCTCAAGACCAGCCTGACCAACATGGTGAAACCCATCTTAAAAAAAGAAAAAAGAAAAAAAGAAAGTGTTGATGTTTAGTATCAAGGATAGCCTATCAAGAATGCATCAGGCGCAAGAATAGAAGAGTAACACAGAACCATCACAGGAAAACAGAAGCTTTTACAGAGAGCTTTTTTAACAAAAGGCTTATGCCCGATTTTATCAGATGTAAACCAGCATTACTTTAAAGGTGTTGTTTTTTCATATACTACTAAGAGAAATGTTAGCAAGCCTTCATCCTGATATCAGGGGTATTAACTAAAAAATTAAAATCAATAAGTATGGTTGAAGAAAAAACACTGAACAACTTCAAAGTTGGATTTAAGAAAAAAAAAGAAGAAATCACAAGGAATATAATAGTGGGAAGAAAATCTTGTTTCCTTGATTTTCATTTCAATCCTTTGGGGCTAGCTAGCCAATTCTGGATTTCAAATTCCAACTTTTCACCCCCCCCCCCCCCCCCCCCCCCAAAATCTTTATCACTGTTGTCTAGAACTAGCTAACGTAAACATATTTATCTTTTAATTACTTAAATTGTGCCCTGATTAGAGTTTTGTACTTATAACTTACATATATTTGTTAATAAATTGAAATTTTAAAAAATTCTTATTACATTAAAATAGTTTTCCCACAGGACCCAAATTTTCATTGGAATATTAGAAGGGTTTTATTTTTATGCAGTTTACCAACACATATGCCTTGACTTTCTGGAGAGACTTTTCTTCACAGTCTAAACATATCAGAGTCTAGGGAATGGTCTGATAGCTTTATTCATCAGTTCATCAAACATTTACTGACATCTGTGTTAGCACTTTGTTTGCCCTGATACTCTAAAAGCCTCAGAAAATTGCCTGAAAGATAAAACACTAGCATATTCTCCCCCATTTTTGGGTAAACTTAATTTAAAGTAAATATTAACAAAATAAAGTAGATATGTATAATGGTGATTTGATAGCTTTGGAGATTTACTCTAGTTTCATTTTTAAAATGTGTGTGTGTGTATGTATTTTTGTTTCTCTCTCTCTCTTTTTTTTTTTTTTGAGACCTAACCCTAACCCCAACTCTGTTGTCCAGGCTGGAGTGCAGTGGCATGACCTCCTCAGCCCACTGCAACCTCCACCTCCCTGACTCAGGCCATTCTCCCACCTCAGCCTCCCAAGTAGCTGGGACTAGAAGCACATGCCACCACACCCAACTAATTTTTGGCAGTTTTTGTAAAGAGGGGATTTTGCCGTGTTACCCAGGCTGGTGTCGAACTCCTCAGCAGAAGCAATCCACCTGCTGCCTCCATGTAATCCCATGCTGGGATTATAGGCATGAGCCATCGCACCCAGCTAAAAATGTATATATTTCTAATTGATAGGGTTTTATAAATTAGTAGTAATAGAAATATTTCCATCTTTAACAAAGACTGCTCTAGAAAAATCACCCTGACCTACTGAAAATCATTCTTAGAAAAAGGGTTTTTTCTCCCTCAGTTAATTGCAGTATAATCCCTCTACTTCTTTCCATCTTTGGCATCAGAAAAGTAACAAAGGAACCTTGTTCTTTAAGAGTTGTCTTAAATTTCCCAAGCAATAAAGTTCTCAAATAGAATTATGTCCTTAAAGCTGTAATGGTAAGCGACTAGATTTGCACTTGTGGGAGCAGAGTAGAGCTGAGCAGCTGCTGCAGACTGACCACTTTTCCTGAGGTGCTGGGAGGGCAGCTAGCCAACACAGACATGCTGAAGGACAGTGAGGACAACAGAGGAAGTGAGCTTAGATACACCTTGCTGGACTGCTGAGCACTGAGAAATCATCTTTGTTTTTATGGAATTCCATGCTTTTATAGACTCTTTTCTGTTGTGATATTTGATAAAACTCTCTAAAGGCATTTTTTAGAGGGCCAGCTGTTAAAACCTTTAACAGGGAAAAGGTTGCTTTTCGTAGTCACGGTGTATATGTGTATGGTTTGTGCATGCAGACATTTGTCTCTTTTTCTTCTGTATCCTCTCCCCTCCCCCAGTGAAGTTATTCGAAGTCATTGAAACTGAAAAAACACTCTACCTAATCATGGAGTATGCAAGTGGAGGTAAGAACATTTGTATATTTATATATATATATATATAGTGGTTTTCTTTCTTTCCCATTAAAAAAAAATACACAACTACACTGCCTATATGGATCATCGTGAAGGCTTCATTTAACATAATACACTAGGATGAGAATCAGAAAAGCTGACTCTTAGCCGTTCTAGGGGTTGCTGTGAAGTGTTTCACTATTAGCATAGTTAATTGATAATATCTAAATACCTGGATATTTTTTGTGGTAAAACATACCCTAAAATTATCATTATAATCATTTTCAGGTGTACAGTTAAGTGGCATTAGCACGTTCACATTGCCCTCATCACCACCCATGTCCGGAATGTTTTCATTTTTCCAGTGCAAAACTCTATACCCACTAAACTCTAACTCCCCATTTCTCCTTCTCCCAGTGTTTGGCAACCATTCTCCTATCTGTCTCTATGAATTTGACTACTGTTGGAACCTCATACAAGTGGAGTTATTCAGGATTTGTCTTTTTGTGTCTGGCTGATTTCATGCAGCATAATGTCTTACAGGTTCATCCATACTGTAGCATGTGTCAGAATTTCATTCCTTTTTAGGAATACTCCATTGTGTGTGTGTAACACACACTCCACATTTTGTTTATCTCGAGTATGTGGCTATTTAAATGTATGAATGCATTAGTCTGTTTGAAACAAATATATGCTCTGGTTTAGATGCTTTTCTTGATCAGATTTTAATGTCATTGGTGTCTATCTTCCCCAAGGCCAGAAATGATGGTTATAGTACATATCGCCAGATTTTCCTTAAAATAAATATTAAGGACTACTAATTGTTTGCCTACAGTGTTATAAACGTGTAGATGTTTTCTGAAATGCATGTTTATAGCTGCTATCTTTGATAATGATTCTTATTTTATGGTTGAGATTGGGCTGGGTTTGTAATTTGGACCACACGGTGAGTTGTTTCATTATCTGTGAAGAGTAGAAGCAGCTTTCTTGCTCACCTTTTTGTGTCACCTGCCTTTAGCACAGTGCCTGGCATGCAGCAGACGCTCAGTAGATAAGAATTAGACTGCATTTATGATTTATAAAGTACTGGGCACACATTTGTTAAACTCTATAGCCGTTTTATCATTAGCACTTTGATCCATGTTACAAAACCTGAAGATAGAAAGCTGGATTATAGTCTCGTTTTAGTGAGTTAAGCATTGAATAAAAAGATTGTAAACCTGTTGTGGGAAACAATGGGTTGTAGTAAGCATACCTCTGACACCACTTTCTTATACTCCTACTTCATTATTAGTTGTATGCTTTATATTTTGTATGTATGTAGTTTGGAAACTTAGTTGGGATTTTCAAAACTTCAGGAGTAGTAGGGGAAGGTTAATCTCAGGACCAAACAGGAGTTCGAGACCAGCCTGACTAATATGGTGAAAGCCCATCTCTACTAAAAATACAAAAAAAATTTGCCAGGCATTGTGGCGTGCACCTGTAGTCCCAGCTACTTGGGAGGCTGAGAAAGGAGAATTGCTTGAACCCAGGTGATGGAGGTTACAGTGAACTGAGATCGCACCATTGCGCTCCAGCCTGGGCAACAAAGAGCAAAACTCTGTCAGCCAATCAGTCAATCTATATCATAACCAAAATGCTTTATGGAGTTCTAATACTTTCTACTCATCTTATGGGCAAGCAACCCAGAGTAATGTTCATAGCCTTCTCGTTGTACAGCCTCTGCAGTGTACAAGGTGCTTTCTCTTAGCAGATCTCCATTGACTTTTCACAATGACTCCATGCTGTGGCCAGGTGGTGAATGATGGCCTTTTTACCCCTGAGGAAATGGAGGCTGGGAAGTCTCACTGTGGACACTCTGGGCCTGGACCCCCAGCACTCTGATAGCAGACAGCCTTTCTAATTGGTCGTTCATGGCTTTCTGTTCCCATCTATTTTAGGTACCCAGGTCACAGAGATTACCCATATAGGGGCAAGACAAAAACATCTGAGAAGCATCCAGGTTTAGTAGAAAGAGGATAGGCTCTGGAAAAGACAGACCTGGAGTGAATCCAGCCAGAGGCCCTCATTGGCCATGTGACCTGACAAGTAACATGCGCTGAGCTGAGCGTCACAGTGAGCATAGTAACCTCCTCTGAGGGCTCAGTGCGCTTAGCAGCATTGTAACAGCATTTAGTCCAAGGTGGTGGTTCTGTATTACCTTGGGCTTTTTTTTTTTTTTTTTTGAGATAGGATCTCACTCTGTTGCCCAGGCTGGAGTGCAATGGCACCATCTCAGCTCACTGCAACCTCTGCGTCCTGGGTTCAAACAGTTCTCCTGCCTTAACTTCCCAAGTGGCTGGGACTATAAGCGCACATCACACCTGGCTAATTTTTGTAATTTTGGTAGACAAGAGGTTTCACCACATTGGCCAGGCTGGTCTTGAACTCCTGACCTCAAGTAATCCACCTGCCTCAGCCTCCCAAAGTGCTGGGATTATAGGTGTGAGCCACAGCACCTGGCCTCTTTAACAGTGTTTTGTTGAGTTTATTAAAACAATTGCCAGGACATATGTTTTATTGTTGATTGTGAAAAGTTTCAGTAAATTGGCCACACATTCCACCATTGTATCTCCCCACCCTTCAGCCTGCTGCCTTTTGATTTGGTAGAATCACAGAATTTTAGAATTGAAAAGAATCTTAGAAATTACTTAGGGTAGCTGTCTGATTTTTACAAATGAAACTAAAGCTCAGAAAGTTTGTTCTATGCCAAGGGGTCCATAGCGAGTTAGTTTCAGGACCTGAATTAGAACTAAGGGCTTTCTGAACTGGCCTGTCAGTGTCCTTCCATCCAGCCACCTGTTCCCTGCCTGGGCAGGAGAGCCACCTTTGCTTCTTGCTTCTTTTTTCTCTGACAAATAGCCTTAGTGTTTTTAAGTTCAGCTACTTAATCTGAATGTTAATACGTTTTTAATAAGGAAAAAAAGATCTGGATTGAATTCCTAGTTTAAAAGTTGAACTCCTGAATTATAATTTAGTAATTATGTGTGTAACATATGGGTCCAGAAATCTCTTAAGAGGTTTATATTGAATTCAAATTTAGAAAAAAAAAAATTATATTGACAGACTTGGATTTTATCTCTGTTAATCTACAACAGCTGGTGGGATTAATCTTTTAATTTTTTTAAGTAAAAACTTCTATATTATACTCATGTTTAGTTGTTTTTGCTTGTCAAGCACTTGTTTTGACATTACATGCTTTTCTGTAAATAGAAAGGTCATTCGTGTAGAAAATGCCGATACTTTACTGAGCTGGCATTTAATTCCATACATAATTCATCATAGTTAAGTGAATTTGTGTCATGTAAACTTGACAGTATGTAATGCCTTTTAAAAGATCATTATGCAGTCCAGGCGAAGTGGCTCACACCTGCAATCCCAGCACTTTGGGAGGCCAAGGCGGGCGGATCACTTGAGGCCAGGAGTTCAAGACCAAACTGGCCAACGTGGCGAAACCCCCGTCTCTACTAAAAATAACAAAAATTAGCCAGGTGTGGTGGTGTGCACCTGTAATCCCAGCTACTTGGGAGGCCAAGGCATGAGAATTGCTTGAACCCGGGAGGCAGAGGTTGTAGTGAGCCAAGATCGGGCCACTGGACTCCAGCCTGAGCGACAGAGCTTAACTCTCTCTCTCTCTCTCAAAAGAGATCATTATGCAATCAAGTGATAACATGAAAATATTTATATCTATTCGTTATTAAAATGTATTCTTTCAGAGTTAGGGTTAAGAGTTTCAAAGTCAGAGATAAATGTGTAATTCATAATGACTTTCAAGTTTCAAAATGTTTTGGTTGAATATTTTCACAAAGCTGTTGGAGGTATTCCTTATTTGTATGAAGTAAAGATGTTTCTTTCCCGAAAACACTTTATATCTAATTTTCTAAATTAGTATTCTTTTTTGTTTATTTCAGAGGTGGCGATTCTTTATTCTAAATTGATAAGCAGTTGACAGTGCTGATAATACATTCCTTGAAGTGTCACCTTTCTTCCCCAAGGAGTTAGTTGTGTAAACGGCCACCAAGCTGTGCATTAGCTAGTTCTGCTGGCTCCATCTCCATTGTGTCCTGAGCTCCCACTTCTCACCACCACTGTGCTTCCCACTCTAGTCCCCATCACTTTCATTATGGATTTGATTATTGCACTGATCTCCGGGTTGGTCTTCCTGCCCTTACCCTTCATTGGAAGCCTCTCCCCCGCTAGCAGCCAGTGATCCTTTTAAGAGGTCAGTTGTTTCATCTTCTCTGCTTCTCATCTCACTGATAGTAGAGCCGGAGTCCTCATGACAGCCTGCAGGACTCTTCCTGGCCTCAAGAACTACCTCTCTTCCCCTCATTCACACTTCTCCAGCCCTGTGGCCTTCTTGCTGTTTCTGTTATTACTGTAGAATCTTACCTCAGATAACTGCATTGTCCGCACCCTCAAGTACTCAGTAAAACACAACTGTGTGCACGCACAGGCTTACTTGTCTCTTTCTCCTGCTTTTCCTCCATAGCACTTGCTATCCTCTGATACAATATATATTTATTCATTTATTGTCCCTCTCCCCCAGCTAGAATGTAAACTCTGTGAGGAAAAGAATCTTGTTGTGTTCACTGCTACATTTCCCCAGAGCCTACCTAGAACAGTGCCTTGGAGTTAGTGGATGTTCAGTAAATGTTTGTTGAGTGAATGAATATAGTCAGGAAATTCTTTGTTGTCATAATCCTGCAGTGAGGATGTCCTCTTCTAACACTAATAACTTCATTTTAATTTTCTATTTTCGTTGCTTAGCTTTTATTAAAGCATATTGAAAACACCCTTTAAAATAATAGTTATATAATTTAGGCATAGGGAATTTAATTTTAAGGCTTTTTTCCAGCTTAAGGATTTTGTTGGTGAATTTAAATACCTGCAGTTAAACTTAAAGCCAGCTTAGTTCAAATTCCACATATTTCTGGCTAACTTTATATTTAAAAATTAGTGCATTGCTAAAAGTGAAACATCAGTTTATGGGAAATTAATGCTCTGAAGTAGGGCTTTTACTTGCTTTTATTTCTCTCACTTATAGGTGAAGTATTCGACTATTTGGTTGCACATGGCAGAATGAAGGAAAAAGAAGCAAGAGCTAAATTTAGACAGGTATGAATTAATGTGTCTTTACTTTGTTAATTTGATAATTTATCTCACTTAAACCCTGAAGCAAACAAGTGTTTGCCTCCATAAATGCTTTTAAGGCTGTTGGATGGCAGGCGTTGGCCATTCAATTCAACAAAACTTTAAAAGTACCTTTCACACCTAAGGCACTGTGCTGGAGGCAGCCAAGGCTCGCATTCCTAGCTTCGTAATGGGAGCGTTAGTCTTACACTTTACCTTCCCTTTCAACAATTGAGCCTTAAAAATCTAGAGCCTTTCAAAAACACCTGTGATTACATTAATTAAAACCATTTCAGAGTTTTTAGCGAGTGTCAGAACCCCAAAATTCATTATTAGCTTTGTCTGACATAAACCAAGATCGAATGTAACTCAAACTGCTAACTGGCAACTTCTTGCTTTGTTTTTACTCTGCTTTTTAAAGAGACATGGGTTTTAATAAGCAGGTTTTAAGCGTATGGGTTACTTAACTCTCCGGTCTTTATAAATAATAATTACTGTTATTGACTGACCATGCCACACACTGGGACAAGTACTTTACCTACATTCTTGTAAATCTTACAGCCGCCTTGTGAATTAAGTACTGTTATACCCATTTGCTAAAATAAGACAACTGAGACATGGGAAGATTAAATAACTTGTCCAGAATTGCCTTTCTTCCCCCTTACCCCTTATTGTGGAGAACGGAATCTTGATATATTGCCCAGGCAGGTCCCAGAATTGCTTTCAAGTAGGAGACCTGCCACAGACTCAAGAGTCCCAAACCCTCTGACTCCAAAACTCAGATTTGCGATCATTATTGTGCTATTATTTAGACTGAGAATCAGCAGACTTCTGTAAAGAGCCAGACAGTGAACATTTTAGGCTTTGTGGGCCACACTGTCTCTGTCATAACTATTTAACTCATGTTGTAGCTTAGAAGCAACTGTAGGCTGGGCACAGTGGCTCACGCCTGTAATCCCAACACTTTGGGAGGCCAAGGTGAGCAGATCACCTGAGGTCAGGAGTTCGAGACTAGCCTGGCCAACATAGTGAAACCCTGTCTCCACAAAAATACAAAAATTAGCAGGGCGTGATGGCAAGTGCCTGTAATCCCAGCTACTGGGGAGGCTGAGGTGGGAAAATTGCTTGAACCTGGGAAGCAGAAGTTGTAGTGAGCCAAGATCAGGCCATTGCATTCCAGCTCAGGCAACAGAATGAGACTCCATCTCAAAAAAAAAAAAAAAAAAGAAAAAGAAGAAGAAGAAGAAGCTGTAGACCATACCAAATGAATGAACGTGACTGTGTTCCAACAAAACTTTATTTACAGAAATAGAGATGGGTTGGAAGTAGCCAGAGGCCATAATTTGCCAACCCCTGATTTAGATGAAGGAAAGGAACAGTGCTTCACTGCTTTTAAATTAATTCTATTCTCACAAGGTCTACAATGAAATGGAATTATCGCCTCATTTCTCTCAGAACCTTTATATTTTGTTTTATTCACATACAAGATTGGCACATCTTTACAGTGTCTCCTTTGATTTGCTTAATCTGAGGTTTACATTTGTAAGTTATAGGACTTAATAAGTTTCTTATAAATGTTGCTTACATACTAATGGTACTTTGAATTCAAATCTAAAATCAAAGTCAAAATCAACTTTGACTATCATTTAGCTTCTCTGATCCTGTTTTTAAAGCTGTAAAAACAAGAAATTACACTTGATGAAGTCCATAGAAGTCCATGATATTCTAATATCATTTGATTGTGTGGTCTATAAAAGGAAACTCAGATTTTTATTAGAAAAGTCTGTTTGGCTCTTCCCATAACCATACTCTTAATTTTTACAAATTGACCACCTGAAAGCAAAAATTATTTTGCTTCATACAGCTTACAGTCCTTTCTACTCAGATGAATGTGACTTGCAAACATGTATATGAAGATGATTTATTGACTATGAGGAAGAGGCTGGTGTCACCCAGCAAGAGCTTACTAACCTAAATCTTGAGGAAATTACTCCAATTTTTATTGTAAATTCCCTGCAGAAATTCTGAAGCCTTTATTTGAGGAGCCTATTAATTGGACTAGGAAGGAAGGTTTGTTATGTGTGTGTTTTTACAATTAGGAAATTGATTTAGAGTGCTTTAGAATTGATTTCTTCTCCCATGGTATTTGCCTATGACTGCTCCATTAGACTTGGAAGGGTATGCGTGATATTGGTGTTTCCACTTTTCTGTTTCAGTTGCTGGGCTTTCTTTTTTTTTCTTTTTTCTTTCGTTGTTGAGATGGAATCTCGCTCTGTTGCTGAGGCTGGAGTGCAGTGGTGTGATCTCAGCTCACTGCAACCTCTGCCTCCCATGTTCAAGCAATTTTGCCTCAGCTTCCCGAGTTGCTGGGATTATAGGTGTGCACCACCACGCCCGGCTTTTTTTTCTTTTTTCTTTTTTTAATTTTAGTAGAGACTGGGTTTCATCCAGTTGGCCAGGCTGGTATCAAACTCCCGACCTCAAGTGATCCGCCTTCCTCAGCCTCCCAAAGTGCTGGAATTATAGATGTAAGCCACTGCACCCAGCCTCAATTTCTGTGCTTTCTAGGAGCTTGTAAGTCATCATTACTTTGACTAAGCAAAAAAAGTTTTTCTATTTATGACAGAAAGGAAGGTATGCCACACACAAAGTACACTGTGCAATCCTTTTCCATATTCATCACCAGATGGGTTTTCCTCCTTCTACTTCCTTCACCATGCCCATCCTAGTTACTGCTTATGACATTTTAAATTTTTGGTTGGGCTCTTGTTCTCTTCAGAGAAAAATAATAAATTTCCAGCCCCATCTTTTTTACTTACCTCTTTCTTGGTTGGCTGGTGATGTTGATTCTTTGACACTCTTTCATGTATGATTGAAGGTGAATTAGGCTAGCATTCATAGTTTAACCTAGATAACGTCTGTTAGAAATCTCCATTTCTAGCTGCTAACCGAATGCAAAAAAAGCTGTAAGTTCAAGTTGAGTCTTTTCAGCTTATTGCAGCATCACGTTAGCTTTGAGCTGTTTTGGAGCCAGAGAAAGAGAGAAATTATTTGATCTCTTTGAGAAAGGACAGAAGATCATCAAATCTGATTCAAAAGCAGAATTTGAAAATAACCTATAAGAGAAATCTCAATATGAGGAAAAACTAATATAAATTCTGAATTAGCAAAGGGAAAAGATTAAATAAAATTTACCTATGTCCTAGGTGACAAAGCTATTACTTTGTTTTGGGAAAACAAAGCTATTTTACTTTTCCAATTTTCATGCTGACAGAATAGAACAATCATGATAAATCCAAAGTAACAGATGCTCTAAAACCCATATTTTGGCATTGGAATTTGTGTACCTTTAGTTAATCATGAGTGGGTCTGATATTCTGAATGTTAATTTTAAATAATGAAGCTGCTTAGCAAAGTGCTGATTTTTGTTATCATTCTCATCCTAACCCCAGTTCACCTTTTCCTTGCTGCTTATTTTGAACCAAAATATTGTACAGCCCTCTCTGAGATTTCATCTCCATGGGTGGGTCCATGGGGCTCACAGTTGAGAGTTGATGATGATTTGGAGGAACCAACAGTATTTTTATTATAATCTCAGTTTTGTGTATATGTAATCATATGCATCTAAATATACATGCAGAATACCAAAGAGAAGACTAGATGCAAGTGCAACAAAATAACGAGAGATGTTACCTCTAGTTAGTGGTAATACAGGAGTATATTTCCATAGACTTTTCTGTATTTCCTAGAATTTCTACAATGAGCGTATAAAGCTTTAATATTAGAATACTTTTTTTAAGTGACCAGTAAGTTGAAATTTCAGTAAAACAGTTGTTTAATCATAGTCATGATTGCAAGTTGACTAAATAAAGCATACTATTTGCTGAAAGTGGGAGGAATTCTTAATAGTGCACTTAGTAGTTTTCATAGTTCACATACGTTACAACGTTCATTCCTCCATTTTAATAAAGGAAGAGGAAACTGACCCTCAGAGAAGTTAACTAGCTTTTGCTCCCCATGGATCCACATCAGTTAGAAGAAAGACTGTTGCAGGGAGCAGACTGGGAAGAGCACTTACAGAAGAGAACCAACCTGGATTAACACCTGGGTATGGGTAACTCTACTGCTGGTTTGGTTTGGAGTTGACTCCATGGGTATGGAAAGGTTGTACCAGGTTGGGCGCAGTGGCTCATGCCTGTAATCCTAGCACTTTGGGAGGCCAGCGGGGGCGGATCACCTGAGGTTAGGAGTTCGAGACCAGCCTGGCCAACGTGGTAAAACCCCGTCTTTACTAAAAATACAAAATTAGCTGGGCATGGTGGCGCATGCTTGTAATCCCAGCTGCTCGGGAGGCTGAGACAGGAGAACTTCTTAAACCCAGGAAGGGGAGGTTGCAGTGAGCCAAGATTGTGCCATTGCACTCCAGCCAGGTCAACAGAGCGAGACTCTGTCTCAAGGAAAAAAAAAAAAGTTACATCAGAGCTATCTGGGCCTAGGGGCAGCCAGGGTCCACCAGATCCAGGCGATTTGTTGGGCCCTGGCACTACACTCTAAGTGGAATGTCAGTGGATAGGGTCCAAAAAGAGACTTCAGTTAAAATGGTAGAAAACAGAAGAACATCCTCACCTATTTTGTTTTGCCCCATCCCTAAATTTCTCTAGACTGGAAAGTTCAAGGCATAGGAAAATCGTTTTTAGAAATCCACACAGACATTCAAGCACATACTGAGTATTCTGTGTGTGTGAACATTAACAAAGTTATTTTCGTCTTAATTACGAATCTGCACCAGTGATATCTGACTCTGCGTCTCTCCTGTTCAGATCGTGTCTGCAGTTCAATACTGCCATCAGAAACGGATCGTACATCGAGACCTCAAGGTAGGTAGAAGTGCCTCACTCAGCGTATGCTCTGTCTGTATGTATGCAGTTCTCACAGTGGTTATTACACAAATGAGGTGTAGATTAGACTTATTAAAATTTTTTTAAAATTTCATAATCATTGAATCTTCCTAAGTTATAGGAAAGAGCATTAAAATTTTTTTTTAAAGTAAAGTTTGTTGAAAGTATTTTACATTTCAGTTAAGGTGACTGGTGATTGATTTCTGGAGGACAGTCATCACACAGCCAAACAAATGGGGGCCTCCAGGAATGTATGGTTGTCCCCACAGCATCCCCAGTGCCGCCTGGCATTCTTTTCTGCTACTTTCATTAGTTCTCTTCCGTTAACAGCAATGCCTGTTTGAGACCTCTTTCAAGGTGTTCAACCTCTGCCCTCACTCTGGCATAGGATGATAGTTTCATATCTCACAGAGAAAATAGAAACACCAGGCAGAAACTCCCTCAGTTTCTACCAGGCCCTTAGACATAGCTGCACCTACCCCCATCCATCACTTCTCTCCTGTTACAGGAAAGTGAGGTGCCTCTGCTCTGAGTTCTGGGTCCTGACTCCCTCTGGGGACTGTGCTCTGTGTAATGCCTCTTTTCTCTCCATTTGTTTATTCACTCTCCTTCTCTAATGGCTCTTCACCAGCAGCATTTACCCATGCTCAAGTCTGTATGCCTTTTTTTTTTTCTTTTTTTTTTTTGACAAAAAACCACCCATGTTCCCCTTCCAGATACACCCTTTTTCTCTCTTCTCCTTTGTAGCCATATTCTTCTGAACATTTCCTAGATTCTGTGTCTTAACTTGGCACTCACCTTCGCTCTCCCCTCACATGGTTGTCGTTGACTTGCTTTTTCATATTCACTCTGAGCTGCAGTGGCCAACTGTATGCTGATGGCTCTGAATTCATTCCTGCGGCCACAGCACTCTTCCTGGATCCAGGACCCAGCTGAGCAAAGGGTATCTTCACATAAGCATTCCTTGGGTGCAGCAGGTTCAAAGCCTAAATTTTTCCTTCCTAAACATGAATGTTCACTTCTCATTCAAGTGAGTGATGTCCCTCAGGTACCTTACCTACTCAGTCACCAGGCCCTTTGCTGTTGTGTCCCAGATACCTCTTAAGCACACTCTTTTCTGTCTGTTACACTGTCCAAGGCCAGACCACTATTATCTCAGGTGATTACGACACTGCTTTCTTACCTGTTCTTCTCTGCTTCTAGTTTTGCCTCTTCCTCCCATTTATGTTTTCTACACTGCACCCAGAATGGTCTTTTAAGGAAACACAAATAAAATGGTCATTTCTCTGCTTGAACAACTCTTCGGTGGCTTCCCAATGCTCTTAGGATGAAAACCCAAACTTCTCAAGTACAGTCCTTTGTTATTAAGCCCTGACCATTCCCCAGCCCTCTCTACACATCTCTCTCCCACACATGTCTTTCAGTTTCTTGGTGAAATATGCTGTGACTCAAATGGGTTCTCAGACTCTCTATTCTGCCTGAAATACCCCTCATCAACACATCCATTATAATCAGATGCACCTTCTGGTGCTTTGATTTCTCTTCGTCTGGGAAGCGGTCCACTCCTTTCAGTGCCAACCTACATCTCCTGGTGCCTCTTCAGTTATGGCACTTGTGTCTCAGGACAGCTGCTTATCTTTCTACCTCTTCCCCTCTGAACTGTGAGCTGTTGAGGGCAGGGTTTTATCGGTCTTGTTCTTCATTATCCATCCAGACACTAATATAGCATCTGCTATGGAGTAGCCACATAGGAAATTTGTTAAAATAAAGTGACTGATTATTTTTTTTTTTTTTTTTGAGACAGAGTCTCGCTCTGTCGCTCAGGCTGGAGTGCAGTGGTGCCATCCCAGCTCACTGCAAACTCCATCTCCCGGGTGCAAGCGATTCTACTGACTTGGCCTCTCAAGTATTTGAGATTACAGGTGCCCACCACCATACCCAGCTAATTTTTTGTATTTTTATTAGAGATGGGGTTTCGCCAAGTTGCCCAGACTGGTATCAAACTCCTGACATCAGGTGATATACCCAACTTGGCCTCCCAAAGTGCTGGGATTACAGGCGTAAACCACCACACCCAGCTGTGATTTGTCTCTTGAATGAGGTTTGGGATTCTCCCCTTTTCATTTAACAGCCATTTCGTAGCTATTTAGCCGTTTTTATGAAATGCTCCTTTTTAAAAAAAATTATTTATTTTTTGAGACAGTGTTTTACTCTGTCACCCAGGCTGGAGTGCAGTGGCACAGTCATAGCTCACTGCAGCCTCAAACTCCCAGGCTTAAGAGATCCTCCTACCACAGCCGTCTAAATAGCTGGGATTGCAGACGTTACCCAGCTAATTTTTAAAAAAATTTTTGTAGAGAAGGGGTCTCTCTATGTTGCCCTAACTGGTCTGGAACTCCTGGGCTCAAGTGAGCCACTGTACCTAGCCCTGCCCCTACCGCTACCACATATTATTTTCGTTTTTTGTTTTTGAGATAGAGTATCACTCTGTCGCCCAGGCTGGAGTGCAGTGGTACAATCTCAGCTCACTGCAACCTCTGCCTCCTGGGTTCAAGCGACTCTCCTGCCTCAGCCTCTCGAACAGCTGGGATTACAGGTATGCACCACCATGCCCAGCTAATTTTTATATTTTTATTAGAGATGGGGTTTCACCATCTTGGCCAGGCTAGTCTCAAATTCCTGCCTCAGGTGATCTACCCACCTCTGCTTCCCAAAATGTTGGGATTACAGGCGTGAGCCACTGTGCCTGGCCCCCATATTACTATTCTTAATTGAAAAACTTGTCAAGGCTTTTCTTGATCGTGGGACACTGATGTTTACATTAGTGCTAGAATTAATCTATACTTCATGCCTGCTATTATTAATGTTATAAAATAAGGAGTTCTCATTTGTCTCCTGTTTTTTTCTCTAGAAAGAATGTTTTCACATTAATTAGGAGGTAACTTTATATCGTTACAAAGAGCTTTTCTGAAAATGCCTAATCCTGTCATATTTCTAATTCTATTTTGGTTAAATTTCATTTTTGTCTTGATGTTTTCCCTCTAGGCTGAAAATCTATTGTTAGATGCCGATATGAACATTAAAATAGCAGATTTCGGTTTTAGCAATGAATTTACTGTTGGCAGTAAACTCGACACATTTTGTGGCAGTCCTCCATATGCAGCACCGGAGCTCTTCCAGGGCAAGAAATACGACGGGCCAGAAGTGGATGTGTGGAGTCTGGGGGTCATTTTATACACACTAGTCAGTGGCTCACTTCCCTTTGATGGGCAAAACCTAAAGGTATAAGAAGGAGTTGCATCCATGTACTTCACAAAACTAAAAAAAGTTTCCTAATATTACATGGCTTCATATCTTTAACATTATATCAGTGTGGGGGCTTCAGGGTTTTTCTTGCTGTGTTTTGTTAACTAAACCTAAAGGTTGACTCACTAGTTTTCTTTCCTCTCTACCTCCCCAAAGGAACTGAGAGAGAGAGTATTAAGAGGGAAATACAGAATTCCCTTCTACATGTCTACAGACTGTGAAAACCTTCTCAAACGTTTCCTGGTGCTAAATCCAATTAAACGCGGCACTCTAGAGGTAATCATGTAGGTAGAAACAAGCAACAACTTTGGAGAGTCTTTAGAGTGGCCTTAGAACTTTGCTTGATTATATGCCATACTGGATACATCCTGCTGCTTTGTAAGCAGGAATTGAAACATTTAAAAAAAATTTGAGTTTATGCTTTGAACAACAGTCAATGAAATGTTGAAAATAAATTTTTCTAAATATTATGGTTATCAGAATATTTTACTCTGCTAATGAACAGTTTACCTTTTTTTTAGCAAATCATGAAGGACAGGTGGATCAATGCAGGGCATGAAGAGGATGAACTCAAACCGTTTGTTGAACCAGAGTTAGACATCTCAGACCAAAAAAGAATAGGTAATCACTCCATGCCTGCATGTTCACGTGTATTTGTCTAAGTAACATATTTCTGTTTGGACTCATGTCTGTACCTAAAATGTGAATAATAGAAAGTTAAGCACAGGTTATATGAACAGTTTATCTGTTCTGTCATATTTAGGAACTTAGCTACCTGCAGTTTCCTATGATAGCACCCAGTAACTCTGAAACAAGTGCCCATTTATATTAGAAAATGTATGTAATGTGTAATCTTTTAGGTCAAATGAAGAAAATTGTTTTATCCTATAAAAGGATGATTTCTTACCCAAACAAAACACATAAACTGTATTATGTCCTTCTTTTAGATATTATGGTGGGAATGGGATATTCACAAGAAGAAATTCAAGAATCTCTTAGTAAAATGAAATATGATGAAATCACAGCTACATATTTGTTATTGGGGAGAAAATCTTCAGAGGTAAGAGTAATCAGAGAGGAAGAGTTGAAATACCCTTAATTATTAGTTCACATCAACTGTTTTCTTAGTTTTTATCTTTTGAATATTTGTAACATTTGATACATCGTTTTTTAGATTTACCTGCAAACTGAAAATCTAAATCCTATGACTATTACAAGCTATTTTAAGTTAACTCTTAATGATGGATATTAGCCAGGCATGGTGGTTCACACATGTAATCCCAGCACTTTGGGAGACCGAGGCAGATGGATCAATTGAGGCCAGGAGTTCAAGGCCAGCCTGGCTAACATAGCGAAACTCCATCTCTTCTAAAACAAACAAACAAAAAATTAGCCAAGCATGTTGGTACGCCTGTAATCTCAGCTACTCGGGAGGCTGAGGCAAGAGAATCGCTTGACCCTGCCAGGGGGAGGTTGCAGTAGGCCAAGATCATGACACTACACTTCAGCTTGGGTGACAGAATGAGACTCTGTCTCCAAAAAAAAAAAAAAAAAAAAAAAAATGCTGGGCATGGTGGCTCGCACCTGTAATCCCAGCACTTTGGGAGGCTGAGGCGGGTGGATCACAAGGTCAGGAGTTCAAGACCAACCTGGCCAACATGGTGAAGCCCCATCTCTACTAAAAATACAAAACATTAGCCAGGTGTAGTGGCGCATGCCTGTAATCCCAGCTACTCTACTCGAGAGGCTGAGGCAGGAGAATTCCTTGAACCTGGGAGGTGGAGGTTGCAGTGAGCCAAGATCACACTGCTGCACTCCAGCCTGAGCAATAGAGCAAGACTGTATCTTGGGGGCGGTGGGGTAGAGAAAAAGATGGATGTTGTTATAAACCTGGTCTTTCATAAATTAACCTATAGTCATTAATGGTTTAGAAATGACATAAAGCATCAGATGAAGTAAATAGAGCATTTAAAGTTGTTTGAGAAAGCCTGGAAAGAAAATGATAAATACCTTTAGTGTCTTTCCAGCAGTCAGAAAACTACTTTTGCTTAAGTTCAGGATTAAAATTTTTGTACGTTGTGATTCCTCGTCTCTGAATGAACGGTTTATGAGGTCTATGTTAATGAGAAGTTTAATTTCCTAATAAACCATTTGGGTTCGTGTTGTGGTTTGCTCTGTTTTTCTCATTTTCTCTTAGCTGGATGCTAGTGATTCCAGTTCTAGCAGCAATCTTTCACTTGCTAAGGTTAGGCCAAGCAGTGATCTCAACAACAGTACTGGCCAGTCTCCTCACCACAAAGTGCAGAGAAGTGTTTCTTCGAGCCAGAAGCAAAGACGCTACAGCGATCATGGTAAGTTTTGGAGTATTCCAGTGCCTTCTCTTAAGAGTCCAGGCAAGAGATCCAGCACTGGGAAGCATTCTGTTGGTCAGAGCCTGGCTTGATGTTCTTTCTTGGCATTTCTTTTTCTCTCTCTTTCTCTTTTGAGACAGAGTCTCGCTCTGTTGCCCAGGCTAGAGTGCAGTGGCACAATTTTGGCTCACTGCAACCTCCACCTCCCAGGTTCAAGCAATTCTCCTGCCTCATCCTCCTGGGTAGCTAGGACTATAGGCGTGCACCACCATTTCTGGCTAATTTTTGTATTTTCAGTAGAGATAGGGTTTTGCTATGTTGGCCAGGCTGGTCTCAAACTCCTGGCCTCAAGTGATCTGCCCACCTCAGCTTCCCAAAGTGCTAGGATTACAGGCATGAACCACTGTGCCTAGCCAGCATTTTTTTCTTAGTGTTCCTGCAGGCGCTGGCATGATTACATGATTACTTTAAGCCTCTGATCTTCTTGGTACATGCAGTAGATTTTTGCTGGGTAAGGCCTCAGTTGAGTGGAAACCTTACCATTAGCCCCTCTGGAACCTCTGTTTTAATCTGTAGTTTTTCTTTTTTTCTTTTTTTAATGGAGATGGGGACTTGCTGTGTTGCCCAGGCTGGTCTCAAACTCCCAAGTTCAAGTGATGACATGAACCAGCACATCCAGCCCTTAGTCTGTAGTTCTATTCACTCTCTTCACCTCTGCATTGGATTTACTTTATAGGGTAGTGCTGTCCAGTAGAACTTTCTGGGATTATTACAATTTTATATCTCTATGCTGTCCAGTCTGGTAGCTACTGGACACTTGTGGCTATCAAGCACTTTAATTGAGGAAATGATTTTTGCCTTTTTTATTTTTATTTATTTTTTCTTGAGGTGGAGTTTTGCTCTCATTGCCCAGGCTGGAGTATAATGGCACAATATCGGTTCACTGCAACCTCAACCTTCTGGGTTCAAGCAGCTCTCCTGCCTTAGCCTCCTGAATAGCTGGGACTACAGACATGCGCCATCACGCATATTTTGTTTTAGTAGGGGCCCCCGCCCCTACTAAATGGGGCTTCACCATGTTGGCGAGGCTGCTCTAGAACTCCTGACCTCAGGTTATCCACCCACCATGGCCTCCCAGAGTGCTGGAATTGCAGGTGTGAGCCTGTCATTGGCCTAGCCGATTTTTACTCTTTTTTTTTTTTGAGACGGAGTTTCACCCTTCTTACCCAGGCTGGAGTGCAATGGCGCGATCTCGGCTCACTGTAACCTCCGCCTCCTTAGTTCAGGCAATTCTCCTGCCTCAGCCTCCTGAGTAGCTGGGATTACAGGCACACGCCACCATGCCCAGCTAATTTTTGTATTTTTAGTAGAGACGGGGTTTCACCATGTTGACCAGGATGGTCTCGAGCTCTTGACCTCGTGATCCACCTGCCTCGGCCTCCCAAAGTGCTGGGATTACAGGCGTGAGCCACCGCGCCCAGCCCAATTTTTACTCTTTTAAAATTTTACTGGCCTGGTGCGATGGGTCGTGTCTGTAATCCCAGTACTTTGGGAGGCTGAAGCCAGCAGATCGCAAGGTTAGGAGTTCAAGACCAGCCTAACCAACATGGTGAAACCTCATCTCTACTAAAAATAGAAAAATCAGTCGGGCATGGTGGCACATGCCTGTAATCCCTGCTACTCAGGAGGCTAAGGCAAGAGAATTGCTTGAACCCGGCGGAGGTTGCAGTGAGCTGAGATTATGCCACTGCACTCCAGCCTGGGCAACAGAATGACTCTGTCTCAAAGGAAAAAGAAAAAATTTTTTTACTTAAGTAATATATATGCATAGCTAATTGTGGCCCAGTAGCTATCATATTAGGGCAGCCCTAGAGAATATATGGAACCCCAGTTTTGCCTTAATTGGTTTCAGTGTTTTACGGTGTCATTCTCATCCATTCTCTTGCTGTTGGTGTGGTTAAGCCACCCTCCCTTTTAAACTTCAGTTATAGAAGCCAATCCTTTATAAGGCAAAATACCCCCAGTGGGTCAGCCTACCAAGCTCTACCGTTGTTCTGCCTTCAGCAGTCCACGCCTCAGAGTCCTGAGGCAAGCGTGTGTGTTTATGCCCTCATAACTACACGCTAACATTGTAGATATCTCCTTTAATTCTGTTATTCCAGGATTTGGGAACTAAATCTATGTTTGTCTGGTCCTAATTTTTAAAAATATATTCTCATATAGAGCCCCTATTCATCTCCTTGGGTTTTTGTTGTTGTTGTTTTTGTTTTTTTGAGTTTTTCTCTGTTGCCCAGGCTGCAGTGCAATAGCACGATCTCAGCTCACTGCAACCTCTAGATCCCAGGTTCAAGCGATTCTTCTGCCTCAGCCTCCCAAGTAGCTGGGACTATAGGTGTGTACCAACACACCCGGCTAATTTTTGTATTTTTAGTAGAGACGGGCTTTCACCACTTTTGGCCAGGCTGGTCTCGAACTCTTGACCTAAGTGATCTGCCCAACTCGGCCTCCCAAAGTGCTGGGATTACAGGCGTGAGCCACCACTCCCAGCCTCATTTTATTTCTCGTCTCTGGACATTTTCCATCTTGATACTTTCATCTTGAGATTTGACACTTAAGACTACACATAGCATTTTAGGTGTGGACAGCTTTTATTTTGTACTAAAATTGATGACTCTTGGTTTGATTTCCATTTCCTTCTGTTGCCTGTCTTTCTGCATGGTTTAGACTGAAGCAACAGTGTACTGATATCACTAGTAAAGCATCTACAGTGGCTGCTATTCTAGGGTATAACTGAGAGCACAGAACTCTTTCTCACATCGGTATTTGTGCTCCTAGCATTTGTAGGTGATGTGTTGATCTAGGTCTGCCTTTTTTGTGTTGGTGTTAGTCACTAACAAGGGGGGTTTCCAGTGCCTATGGACCACATGACTATTAAATCCTGATGTATTGCCCTGAAACCATCTAGTTTAAATGGAATTATCCCTAAATTCTAGAAGAAACCTGATCACGGGATTTTTGCATTTCTCTAGGGAATATGTTAGTAAGTTAGTTCATCCTTAAGCACATAGATTCCATCCAGATTAATAGTGCCCCCAGCTCATAAAATTTTAGAGATGAAAAGGGCTTTAGACATGGTATCATACACTCACCAAACTTCTACTTTATCCCTAAAGAAATAGACCAAGAGAGATCACCAAGTCTCCCAAGGTTACGTAGTAAATCAGAAACAACCGGGCAGAGCCCAGGACTCCTGGTCCCAGCCCTGTGGCTCTCTCCACTGAAGCACCTCACTGGAGTGGCCTTTTCATAATCCTCATCTTTCTTGGAATTTCTGAAGGCAGGCAAGCCTATATGGCCAGGCCAGCTTTCACCCCTCTTGCCCCCTCTCACCTCTCCCTTCCTTTTTACCTGCCTGTAGATGCTGACCTCTCTGCATGCGTACCTGCTTCTTCTCTAAAGCCACAATGTAATTTATAACTGTCTTCCTAATTTGAGACCCACATGTGAATACCCCATATGCGTGTACACACTGTTTCTGCGAATGGTGATCCCCATCCGATTTTCAAGGAATTCTTTAGCTTGTTTTTTTAAAAAACAATAATAATAATCACTGTACGGGGGCACATTTGATAGTTCTCAGAAAAAAAAATGAATTTGGATCAATTTCTCACGTCTTATACCAGGATGAATTTCCAGTTGGAATGAAGATACAAATATAAAAAATAAAACTCCAGAAATATTGAAAGAAAACATGGGATTATTTGCTTTTTAACTTGGACTGGTGAAGGTGTTTCTGTCACCCCAAATACTAAACCATGAAGGAAAAGACTTACAAATTTGATTACATAAAAATGAAATGTCTGTGTAATACATCCATACCGTGGACTATCCTACTCACAATAAAAAGGAATAAACTATGATATGTATAACTTGGATGGATCTCAAGGGAATTATACTGGGTGAAAATACATAAAAGGTTACATTCCATGGATTCCCATTTATATAACATTCTTGAAATGACAGAATTCTAGAGATGGCGAGCAGGTTAGTAGTTGCTGGGATTCAGCAAAAGGGAGTTAGAGTAAGGGAAGTGGCAGTGGCTGTGACTGTGGCTATGAAAGGGTAGTTCCCAGGGTCTTTGAGATGGAAATGTACTACATCTTGACTGGTGGTGGCCACATGAATCTAAACATGTAATAAAAGGGTATAGAATGAAATATACAGACATACAAATTAGTGTAAGTACAACTGGGGAAATCTGAATGAGGTCAGTGGATTAGATCAATGTCTGTTTCTATTCAGACTCCCAGATCTTAAAAGGTTTTATATTTTCTAAACACAGAGTTTGGAAGCAAATCAGTAGTGACCTGGAAGTTTACAATGTCAGTAGACCATGATAATGGGAAGAAAGCTAAGCATTGAGGCTAATATCACCCTATACTTGGTTAAGTTTTTTATATGTTAAAATTACTAAACTGAAAGTTTAGTTGTTGTTCTCCCGTGAATAAAAGTAAGCCCTTATTTATTTTTAATTTAGTTCCAAACAGATTTGCCCTTTAGATTTTTGTCCAAAAACTAGCTCCTCCCATCCCCATTTGTTTGTTTATTTTTTTAAACAGGACCTCATTCTGTCACCCAAGCCACATGCAGCCTCAAACTCTTAGGCTCAAGCTGTCCTCCCACCTCAACCTCCCAAAGTGTTGGAATTACAAGCGTGAGCCTACCATGCATCCCCAACCTTTAATACATCTAAAATATAAAATATCTTCTGCCTTAGAAAAAATGATGAGCATTTGATGCTGTCCTTTAAGATTACCACTGGATTATCATATGTGAGGCATATACTAGTTATCATGTTCATTTGTAAAATTCTTAGCACTCTGAATTTCCTGTGCTGCTATTGGAGTCTCCCTGTCGTCCACATGTCCCTAGGCACATGTCCCTGGGCATACTCCTCCTGGAGTGGCAAGAATGACTAGTGACCTCCATCTACTTCCTCCCTGTCGCCTGCATGATTTCTCTGCTTCTACACCTCCCCCTATCTACTCAAACTCCTGTTTGTCTAAAAGATTATGGGTGTTTTTAAAAAGATCCAAGATAAGCCTTCAAAAGAAATGGCCTATAAAATCTATACTTTTCTGTTCCAAAAGGTGATGGCATCTCTCCTACAAAAGAGGATGTAATTCATTCAGATGTACAAGATGAACTGGTTCATTCTACTTGATTTGTGTGCATCTAATTAGTTTGAATCTATACAGTAATACCACCTTAAGATGTTTCCAAAGGACAACTCTAAATGCTTATAATTTTTTGAAAAATATATTTTAAGTAGAAATTTAGGGGTATTAAATGAAATTTCAATACTGAATTCATTGCATAGGGCAACCATTAGATATAAGTGAGAAACATCTTAGAGGATTTTACTGTTTTACTTTTTTTTAGGTGAATGGCAATCTCAGATCCTCTTACAAAATACGATTACTGTCACAAAATAAAACTTGAAACTATATTCAGTCTTTTTAAAAGTAAACTCTTTATTTTAGCTGGACCAGCTATTCCTTCTGTTGTGGCGTATCCGAAAAGGAGTCAGACCAGCACTGCAGATAGTGACCTCAAAGAAGATGGAATTTCCTCCCGGAAATCAGGTGGCAGTTCTGTTGGAGGAAAGGGAATTGTTCCAGCCAGTCCCATGCTTGGGAATGCAAGTAATCCCAATAAGGCGGATATTCCTGAACACAAGAAAAGCTCCACTGTCCCTAGTGTAAGTGCTGTTGAACTATAGAGTGGTCTTAGCGTGGTAGGGTTGGAACTGGCTAGACACCAGGTGTTCATTTTAGTCCTGTGGTCTCCTGTTCCTGGAATGTCCTCCCCACTAGGCCAGTCTTAACCTATAGAAATCCTACCTGCTGCATTGTAGGAGTTTATTGTTGACACTCTCTTAGTTCATTCCTGCTGCTGTAACAAAATGCCTGAGACTGGCTAATTTATAAAGAAAAGACATTTATTTCTTATAATTCTGGAGGCTGGAAAGTCCAAGATGAAGGCACCAGCAAGTTCTGTGTCTGGTGAGGGCCCTGTTCTCTGCTTCCAAGATGGTGCCTTGGTGCTGGCATCCTCCAGGGGAGACAAATGCTGTGTTCTCATGTGTCTAAAGGGACAGAAGGGGTGAACTCACTCCCTCAAGCTCTTTTATAAGACACTAATCTCGCTGTGCCCAGTGGCTCACGCCTGTAATCCCAGCACTTTTGGAGGCCGAGGAGAGTGGATCAGGAGTTCAAGACCAGCCTGGCCAAGATGTTGAAACCCCGTCCCTACTAAAAATACAAAAATTAGCCAGGTATGGTGGCAGGCACCTGAAATCCCAGCTACTTGGGAGGCTGAGGCAGAGAATTGCTTGAACCTGGGAGGTGGACGTTGCAGTGAGCCAAGATCACGCCACTGCACTCCAGCCTGGGCAACAGAGCAAGACTCCATCTCAAAAAAAAAAGACACTAATCCGTTCATGAAGGCAGAGCCCTCATGATCTAAACACCTCCTAAAAGACTCATGTCCAAATACTGTTTTCTCCTATTGGAGATAAAGCTTCAACATGAATTTTGGAGCGGACACAAACATTATCTCACAAAGTTTCATAGGTATGGCCAGGCACGGTGACTCATGCCTGTAATCCCTGCGCTTTGGGAGGCCGAGGCGGGCGTATCACTTGAAGTCAGGAGTTCAAGACCAACCTGGCTCAACATAGTGAAACCCCATCTCTACTGAAAATATAGAAATTGGCCAGGCAAGGTGGCTCACACCTGTAATCCCAACACTTTGGGAGGCCGAGGCAGGTGGATCATGAGATCAGGAGATTGAGACCATCCTGGCCAACCTGGTGAAACCCTGTCTCTACTAAAATACAAAAAAAATTAGCCGGGCTTGGGTACATGCCGGTAGTCCCAGCTACTTGGGAGGCTGAGGCAGGAGAATAGCTTGAACTCAAGAGGCGGAGACGGCAGTGAGCCAAGATCGCACCACTGCATTCCAGCCTGGCAACAGAGCAAGACCCTATCTCAAAATAAAATTACCGGGTATGGTGGTGTGCACCTGTCATCCCAGCTACTCGGGAGGCTGAGGCAGGAGAATTGCTTCAACCCAAGAGGCGGACGTTGCAGTGAACTGAGATCATGCCTCTGCACTCCTGCCTGGGTGACAGGGCAAGACTATATCTCAAGAAAAAAAAAAAAACAATTCAAGGTGAGATTTGGAAAATTAAAAAATAAAAATTTCATAGCTGCAACTTGTTTCTTGCTTTTTAGTTTTTTATATTAAAGTTCATGTGAATTAAATTCATGAAGTTGAATTCGTGAAATTAAATTCATGTGAATCCACATGACACATGATTAACCATTTTAAAGTGTACAATTCAGTGGCATTTGGTACACTCACAGTATTGTGCAACCAACACCTCTCTTTAGTTTTAGAACTTTTTCAGCACCCCAGAAGGAATACCTGGGCACAGTGGCTCACTCCTCTAATCCCAGCACTTTGGG